TTCATTGTTCTAGTGTTCAAGTGGGTCAGAAAAACATTAATTGCACTAGTACAAGTCACTTTTGGAAGAACCATCAACAAGTAAGTAGCTGTTGCTTTAACTGAATTTTTATCATCATTCTATTAGAAAAAGGCTGACAGAAGAACTGGTAAAAATAATCTGGACATCCTGTTGGATATGATAATCTACATTTGTTTTCCGCAGCTCAATTTACAGCAGTGTTAGATTTATTAGAGAAAACAGAGATATGTAAATTATCTTTATGCTGCTAGGTGAGGCCTGCCTGATGCTATGAGCATACCTGTCTGTAAACACCCTCATATGGAAAGCTGGATCCCTGGTCAGAAACAAATTTTAGAAGTATTCTGTCAGCACAGCAGGCTGTTCTTTGTCCAATCAGTGACTAAATTTGCACTTGCCAGCATGGCTTTTAAAGCCTCTTATGTACATTATGTAGCAGTAAATTGGACTGGTCTCAGACAGTATCCACTCACTGAGTTTTAAATTGATTGGCTCATTTGTTCATACCCTGCTGATAATTGGAAAATGCCTGAAGGAGGACAGAGAGGCAGAGGATTTGTGAGCATAGCTTGCATGCAAAGTTCCTGTGTAGCTTTTTACATTTAGGTTGACTTTATTAATTTTAAGGGATTTAGCTGTAGGGCAGCAGTACTGACTGGAGCCTGCTCTCTACCTTAGACTCCTGGTGCTGTACAGCAAGTGGTGCAGCCACAGGAAGAGGTCTCTGTCTGTAATCCCTTCAGTAATGTGCTTTGCTATCTGTGAAGGAACCTACTGTGCCTCTATCAAAACTGTCTATTTTTATCCTAGCAGACACATCTCTGCAAGCAACTAGTTTGGAGTTTGCTACTATTAGTGACCTGATTATCCTGACTTTTCCTGGTGGAGAATTTGTAGTGCCCATCCTTGAAATGTGGTTTTGATGTATATTTCAATGTAGTACTTGTAATTTGAAATGGATGTTTGTGGATTACATTGAAAAGCAACCTTTTCCAGATCTAAGTGAGGTATCTGGAGTGACCTAAATCCTAGAGCACCCAGAGCTGAATATGACCTGCTGTTATGCCAATGAAATCAACTCAGGTATACTGGCAAAATTACATGAAAAAGAACATCTCTTCCACTACTGTGAGAAGTAAGAAGAATAAATATGGATAAAACATGAGACTAGCTCTGATGGGCTCCCTTTTACACTTCTTTACAGGCAAATCCGTGACACTGTACACTGGATGTTCAGTGAACCAATGCTTGTTTACTACATTGGTGTGTTTCGAGATGCTTTTTGGCCAAATGGAAAGTTGGCTCCACCACCGAGAGCCAAGAGCGATGAACAAAAGCAGGAGACAAAACAGAGAGCACAGCAAAAACTACTTGAAAACATTCCAGGTGAGATCACTTTGATTCTGCTTAATCGTGGATTTAATAACTAATAAGGAAACTGGTTAATCAAATTATTTTCCTGTAGAGTTTTAAATTATGATTATTTGCATAAATAAGGGTGATTTTGGTCTTAGTCTTTGCCTCTCCTGCCTGTCTGGTAAAAGGCCTGGATTCAGATATCATTGGTGGATGCAAAATCAGAATTGCTGTATTTTTGTGTATAATGTTCATCAAGGAATCTCAGTCGATTCTCTCTCTGCTGGTTCTCTGTGAGCAAATATGTGCCTCTGCTACTTGGAATTACTTGCCAAATAGGGAGAGTGGCACCCACCCCAATTACTTCTTCCTCTTATATTTTAGTTGGAGAGAGAGACACATGCTGTCAGTGTTGTGTGTTGTCTATTTCTGATAAGAGGTCTCAGGGCACTGAATGTTAGAGTGACCTGCATCCTGGGCAGAAAAAGATCCTAGATGGAGTGTTTTTTTCAGTACTTTCCTTTGCCTACCCTTATCTCCCAAGCCTGAGCAGCTGCCTTTTCAGCCAGAATGTTTTTGGGGCACCATTCTGAGATGCTCCATCCTGTCCCACTCACAGGACAGGAAATCCAGTTACATATTTTTGACCCCTCAGAGATCATGTAAACCCAAAGGCACCTAACTGAAGAGAATCAAAATCATTGCCATTAAGACCTGGAAATGCACTTCAGCATAGCTTGAATGCTTTTTCTCTGCTCCATCTGAAGAGAACGAGCTGTTTTATGGCTTCACTTAGATATCTCATATACCCACATGCATTAGGTAGTTTAATCAACTTTTACTGCAAAAAAGGAGTAGGTATGCATGCAAAATATTTGTCTTTTGATGTGTAAACAACCCTTCCATTTACTGCCCGTGTTTTATATTGATCTACTTACCTAAATAGCCTTCCATAGTAGGTTTGTGTTATTGTTTGATTTCCTGTTTGTTTCTGAGCTTGGAGCCATATGTCAGGACATAGCTGAATGCACCTTAGATTAATGATGGAGCACTGAATCACTATTTGTTCTCTAATTTAATCCAAAGTGTAAATAATTGACTTAGAATTCTCTTAACTGCCTTCTTGTGGCAAGTATTCTCTGTGAAGACTGAGAGTCAATTAAAGTGCTAAATTTGTTTGAAATGTTGTAGAAGTTGTGTCTTTGGCTTAAGGTATATTTAAGTGAAAGGTTTAATGATGTGTGAGATGAGACTTGACTTAGTGAAGTGAACTACTGAAAAGGCATTTGATGTATTATGTTAGAACACTTAAAATGTTCTGAGATGCACACACTGTTATCTATTGAGTAACTGGAGAATAAGGGTATCTTTTCAAGCTGTGTTTTTAAAAAGTTGGTGAGGAGGGACTCTGTGTATCTTGTAGCCAAGGACCATTGAAGTGCAGTGGCTTTGTTTCCCCTCCTTTATGGGTCTTTATGATTGAACTAGATGATCTGCAAGTCCTCTTCCAACCTTTATGACTGTGATTTTGGGTAGTAGAATGATGATTCTGGCTGTAGGCTTTGCCTAGCATGAGTGAAACAACATAAACTGAAGGAATGTTTGTTGCAGATACTCTGCAGAATCTTGTTGGACAACAAAATGCCCGTCATGGTGTAGTGAAAGTGTTCAATGCATTGCAAGAGAGAAAGGCTAATAAGCATCTACTTTACGTGAGTAACCAGAAAAGCACCTATTTAACAACATAATCCTGTAAGTTACTGAGCTCTACTCACTCAGTATTAAAGCCTAGGGGATGTTTTTGCAAAGATTTATTTATTGTTAAAATAAATCAGTTGCTCTAGGTTTGATCACTTGACTAAGTTTGAATAACAAAAGACTGTTTAACAGCAGCATTGTTTTTGTCTAAAAGAGATCCTCTACCACATCCTATGTGCCTGACTTCATAAGGTACAAACTAATTTCTTCGTACAGCTTAGAAAAATAACCATGTCTTGGAGAATCCTAGAGAAGGTGAACCAGAACTGGCTCATAGTTAGGATATGACAGCCTTTCAGAAGTTCCACTCCTCAGCTGTTGGGAATAGTTGGAATATGCAGCTGGATCTAAGTATAACACCTTTCACAATCAGTCTCTTCTGGCACATTCCAGACAGCAGCCTGTCACACAATGCTGCCCCAGCACCAGAGAGAAGGTGCATGCCCTGGTGCTTATGATGCTGTGGAGTCTTCGACAGAACAGCACCACTTTTTACTGCGTGGGAAATTCCCATCTGAATGGAGCTGCCCTCAACTCTGCCTCCTTTCAGCCTTAAGACATTTCCCATGTTATCTGTAGGGCATGTGCTAACTTCTGGATGAAAGAAAAGTAGTTGCACAAATGATGAATGTAATCAAATCTATGTGCTTCTGTTATTTGTGGTTTTCTAAAAATGATGAAGAAACAAGAAATTTTGTTGGCACCTGCATAATTTTAACTCTTTTCTGTTTTCCAGGTTTTGCTGGAACTGCTGCTAACTGAACTGTGTCCTGAGCTGAGAGCTCATTTAGAGCAGCTTAATGCCACTTAGGTTTGAATCTGCACAATTGGACCACTAGAGAAATGTCTATGTTCAAGAATAGACATGAAACTTATTTTCCTCTTTTCCATAGAGGGCTGAGGACTATGATTATTTTTAGCATTTTTCTTTCCTCTTGAGTTTTTTGTGAAGTACAGACTTGAAAAGATCTGATGCTGTTGTAGGGTAGACAAAAAATGCTGTATAGCTGCCAATTTTTATTTAAATTGTTCTATTTGACTACTCCTCTGTTTCAAATATAGATTGAAAAATAAATGTTCATATATGCTGAAAGAAACCAGAAGATATTTTAAACATTTATGGAAAGAAATTCTGCTTATAATGGTAAACTAATGAATGTTGTACAGTTCTAATCTCCTCACTGAGGATCTGAGCATTCCTTTTTTTTTTCTTGTGTATTGAAACAGCCTTGTTGTGCAATACCACATGTAAAGCTATTGTGAAAATTTTATCAATTTTGGTTTTACCAAAGATTTCCTGTAGTTTGAAGCATTTGTAAGCAATAAATATCACAACTGGATTGCAGCTTGATAATGAGGCTGTACTGACAACAGATCAATGGGTTTGACAGCACTAGTTTCATAAGAAGTATCTACATTGCTTTGAAGTCTGTGTCAAAATTATGTATTGTAAACTGGTATGTCCTAACAGAATGCCTGTGTTAAATGTTAGTTCAGAGATTAGTGCTTATGAATTGCTTCTATGATGATCAAGTAGACATTTAATTAAACCATTCTGATAACTTCCCTGATATTATTCAGGGCTGTTTTGTTCAAATGCCCCAATTTCAAATAACCTTCAAATTTTTCTCTTATTTTATACAAGGAAAGAAAACTGTCTTCAGTGGTTGGTGGTTTTTTTAAATTTATGTAAAAATATGTACATATGATGTTAATGCACATCTAAATAATTAAACATCATCAAAAATCCCTAGCTGACACTCATTACTGTCTTCTCAATTCAGTACAGTTTTGCTCTTGGAAAAACTACTTGCAGTTATGACTGGCTGTATTGTAAGGTACATACAATCTGTATGATCTATTTAAATCAACATTTTTAGTAACATCTGCCCTTCTGTTCTAACAGTTTCAGAAGAGTTTTCAAGTCGTGGCACAGTACTAAGAAGCAAGGCAAATTTTATACTTACAAAGCTTCATAAGTAAACAGGCATTTAGGAATGTGCAAGCTTACCACAACAATCAGTAAGTTTTCCTAGTGGTTAATCAAAATGTTGTTCCATAAAAGATCCAGCTTGACATTGCTCAGACATAAATACTCCTAGCCAAAAGATTTTCAACTATTTCTAATACAGAGGCAGTGTGAATGGAATATGTAGAATTGAGGAAAACAGGCCTTGTCTTGGGGATGCGTATTCAATATTTCCATACTAATGTTGGGGCTTTTTTCCCACAGTTCTGTAAGTAGTGTTTATTAGTTTTGGAAGCTGGTATGGTTTGAATTGTAAAGCTTGGGGTTCTACTGGACAGTTTCCAACTTTGAGTCTCTGCAATCCAAAAGAAATATGTATGAAAACTTCTAAGTAAATCTAAATGCTTTAGAAAGTATGTGGAAGAAAGTATAAGCACCACTAACAAATTAAGCTTTAAAAATGGCCATGGCCTGTAAGTGGGCTGTGTGTGAAAATGAGACAAGTATGGGCTCAAGCTTTTCAGAATATTAAAATTTAAATATTATAAATGCAAAAAGGAAACAAACATCTTTCTTTGGTTTTGTTTTGATTCATGTGCTATGTAGCAATATGACATAAAGTAAATACATCTGTCCCAGTGAAATGTCCTTAATAAACCTTTAAGTCTTCAATATGATTTTTAAAAAAATCTGTCTCAGCTTATCTGAGTTAAAGAGAACATGAACTTTTTACTTTCTCTTCTAGATAAAATGAATCAGTGAATTGCGTTAAATAATAATTTCTAGAAAGTTGAAAAGCAAGCAGTAAGTGATGAACAGTCTATAATTGCTGGAGATTAATGATGGTTTATTGTAGGAAATATATTTATATACCAGTCACAGTTAAAAGAAACACTAAATTCTCCCAAGATTAGCTGCCAATTCAAGGTGAGAAGCAACAACAGGATCCAGATAGCATGCCTTTAAAAACAAAGAATATCAGAGTTCTAGTTTATAGCTACAATAAAATTGCATGTTATCAATATGACAAAGTCTTTAAGTGTCAAAAAAATTAGTCAACTTGCTAAAGTATTGAAGAGTTAACATATTTCGAATTGAATCCTTTTTCTGGTGCCACATAAAAAAAAATAGTATTTAAAATTAGCATACTGGATTATAGTGTTAGTCTTGGCTTTATTTTTTTAGAAATTCTGTATGTTGGCATGGCATATGCAGCACCACAGTCGGAAAAATAAATCTGCTTACAGACTGGATGAGTTTCACTCACATCCATTGTCTATTTCAGGTCCCTTAGCAATGCTCACATTCTTTCTCATCTCTTACAGAACTGCCTTGGTCAGTCAATGGTAGGCCAAAACCAGAACTAAGCAGTCAATTAAAACAAGTATGACTTTAGGTAAGGGTAATTGTAAGCGTAGTTAACATGAGAATTTTGCAGGTACAAAAAAACCTGGACACCCCCACAACTATTTTGAAGTTACTGTTTTGGGGAGTTTTCTAGTTTATTTTATGTTGCTTCTCTTTTGCTATTGACTTAGAGACACATGATATATTTCTTTTTCTTGGGCCAGGTCTCAACATGACACCAGTCATAGGAACCATCTCTTTATAGTGAGACATTAGTGACACTCCTAGACCAGTCTCAGGTGCACAGCAAGTGCATAATGAGTGAAAGCCGTGGTCTTCTTTCAGTTGTGGCAGTTTTACCACACATTAGAAGACAGTGGGAAGGGCTGTGCTCCTAAAATGCCATGCAACAATTTAATCCCGATGAACCTCTTCAATGCCTTAACTAGGAATGATCATAATACCACAGTTTATGTTCCTGTCCTGATGGCCTCCTCATCCTATCCTCTATAACATTTTTCACAGTGGGAGAACAAGGTATTTAAAAATTCTACATTCAGATCACCTGCTCTGCTAAGCCTCCTCTATCAGTGACTTCCCTGAGTAAAGAGCCACAAAATTTGCCTGATAATTTATAATTTCCATAACTCTCCATTCACTTAGATTGCACCAAGATGAACACCACAGTATTCTACTTGCAGAAACAAATGGTCACTACGTGCACAGAAACCATAGAGTCCCTGAAGCACAGATGCCAACCTGCTACATTCCCTTCAGCTGGTAAAACTACCTTGCCTTGATGCCTTTAGGCATCACTGATACTACTCAACAGGTTAATCTTCTAGAGGCCATTATTAGTATTTTTCCTCAAGCTCATTTTCCATCAGTCTTACTCCAAATTTAGAACTTTGGAAAAAATGTAACTGATTTTTTTCCCCCAGTATATATTGAACAGAAAAAGCAGTAGATCCTCAGCTATTATGGAAAATGTAAATATAGAAATATGCATGAGAACCAGTTACGGCCAATTGAATAAAGGTTGTAATTTTTACAGATGCTAAAGTATAAGGAAAAATAACAATTTTTCAGTTGTGAGAGAATGACAGAAAGCAAATCAATTTGGGATAAAATTATTCAAATTGTTTAGCTAACTTATCTTGCTCTTTGCTGTGATGATTGCCATAGATTTTTTGTTGTTGTTGGTTACACTGCTTGCTTAAGCAGTTGGGCAGATAGCATCCTTTCAAGGCTATTTTTAGTAGTTTTCAGTACTAAACTACTACTGATAATTTCTATCAGTCTACATACTCTCGCAAATATTCTTTTAACATAGTGTTGGAGTCCTTAATGAAATAGCAAGTTTAGACTAAACTCAGATCCAAGGTATCACTCCATTTCACAAGATACAAACCAGTCTGTAAGACTTTCTCAACTTACTTTAGAATAGTACGTCTTAGCAGCCTGCTGGTTTTTCTCTATGCCTCGGCCAAGCTGGAGGCATCTAGCCAAGTAGAAAGCAGCCATAGCAGCCCCCTTGGCTAAATAAGTTGGATGACAATCAGTTACCTTGGCTAGCGTGTTGATGTCCTCATTGGCTGTAGCCCTGTTGTGGAATTTAGAGCATTACGTTAGATAATGCTAGTTCAAGCAATAATTAAAGTTGGCCATATATGACTTTGACAATGCCTCCTTTCTGCTTACATAATTATCCAGAATAAGCTGAAATTCACATGTATTAGGTATCTTATGAGGATTGCTCGATTTTGTATTTGATTTTAAGTTAGTCTTACTTGAATATTGTGGTATTAAGCAGCAAACAAGCATACAACTTTTGAAGTCACTTTCAGTACAGTTATGTTAGTTATAAAAGGCAACATAGTTTATGCTAATTGTTCCCATTAAATTATTTTATGGAAATTGTATGCAGAAGAAAGACAAAGCTCTTATTCCATGTAGTATTTCATGTAGCTCTTATTTCCTCTTATTTCACTACATGAGCAACCTCATGTACTGGAAAATGTCCCTGCCCACAGCACAGGGGCTGGAGCTCTAGACAGTCTTTAAAGAGCCAACCCAAACCATTCTGTGATTCTATGATTCTAAAATTTTCAGTTCTCACAAGGATATTGGCAAATTGTAGTAATCTGAAAATCTTGGACATATGAGACCCCCTGGTTATAAAACTCTGTCAGGAAAACCACTCATCACTGTTTCAGCTCAATTATTTCCTTTCTTCTGCGTGCTTGCTGTCATCTTAGTTTCAGCATGTTTTTACTAATAATGATTTTAAGCATCAGAGGGACAAAGTGAATATTGTTTTAATATCAAGCTGAAATTATCTAGTATAACAGTATAATATTAGAAAATGCTATACCTAAGTGGGATTTTTTTTCTGTTGTCTTAAAACAGATACCCCCAAGCCCCATATCTCTTCCAGGTACCAAACAGTAATTATATGCTTCTTACACATCATTTTAGCTGTGTCAAAGTCACAGACTTGACAGAAGAAGGAAAAGTGCAAGTAATTTCAGTTTATAGGTACTTCCTGTAAATGAGTGTTTATGAAAGATTGTTCTCAAATGACCCTGTGCACATCAGTGCCTGCTAGATCAACTGGAAGTGTTGGGAATGATATTCTTCAACCTAATTCAGTCCGTTAACAAATACAGTAACACAACTGTTCTTATTTAGCAAGAACATTAAAATAGAACAACAATAACATATTACCTTTTGTTATTCCTGATACGTAACATATTCCCCTTCCTTTTCAAAAGATAATCTGCAGAATGCTAATGCAAATAATGATATCCAATCAAGACAGGCAAAAATTCTGTTTCAGCACAGCTGACTTCAAGAACATACCACAGCAATTGGTAAGTACAACTGTGTGGGATAACTGAATTATCTGAAGTGAAGTATTAGTAGGTAATGTAGACTCCAAATATTAGGCAAGATTACACTGCACATAGTCACATAATGTTTTATGCTTGTATATAATGTAACAAATGTAGTTGCTACGAATATAGAAGGCCAAATTTTAGCAGAAAAGGTATCAGTGCTTGATATTACTGGCTGAACAGCTGAGATTTTTGCCTCAAGGCGATCTTCAATTCTAATTAAGTGTAACTGTTTCAAGTATGGTTTTGGTATTTTATTTCAGAAATGGTCACCTCTGACAGTACTGTGGGATTTCATTGCTATTTTTTGCAATTGCAATTGCAGCTGATGAGGTGCACTCTTTATTTGTATGGACAATCTACCATGCAGCATTGACTGGAGGGGATTCATTCCTAGTGAGACAGGCTAGACCAGACTGAACAGTTATTGCTCCAGTCTGACAGTGCAAAAGAAAGAAAAGCAGCAGTTCAGAGAGAAACAGTCCTTCTCAGCGTGGAGTAGAGCAAACAGCATCCATAGCTGAACTACTGAATTAACCAGAGCTTCTGCTACTCAGTGGCATATAGTGCAGCTTCTGTAACATGGTTAAGTTGTGCCATGTTTGCTGCTGTGCAGCAGAAGCTATGTAGACAAACCCCAAAAAGCACAAATGTTAGCATGTGCTACTTGTGCAAGCAGTCAGTCTATCTGGATCTTATTTCCAGCAAGTCAATAATCTGATGGACAGATTGAATTTCTATCAATACACTGGTAAACTCTGGAGGTTTGTCACAGAAATGTGCTGTTTACATAGAACATTGCACCAACACTGCTCTTGTCCTACTTGACTAGTTCAAGATACAGAAGTGGAAGTGAAGTGGTTGCACTTGTGCCATGCTCCAACCAACTGGGGAATAACCCAGGCCAACCAGAGCAGCAACAAATATTCCTTAGCTGCTTCCCAAATGAGGACCAGAAGACAACCACCTCAAGTGTATGTGTACCGTGCACACAGCCTGGGACCAAACAGGAGGAGCTGGAGCTCTGCACCCACTCAAAGTCACACAGCCATAGGAATGACTGAAGCAAGGTGGAACAACTCACATGACATGACAGAAGGATTGTGAGGGATGGCCATAGGCTGTTTTGTAAAGACAGAAAAAGAGGAGGAGTCATGCACTGAATTAAGGAGAACCTTGAATGAGGAGAAGTGAACTGTGGCAATTCTGGAAGCCTTACTGAATGCTTCTAGGTCAGGATCAGAGGAATCATCTCAAGAGGGATCTTACACTAAGCATCTGTTACTGACCACTGAATCAAGACAGTAAGACCAATGAGATAATACTTGGGTCACTTAAGTAAGCTTTGGGTAACAAAATCTGGATCATGGGTGATTTGAACTACCCAAGCATTAGATGCAAAGAAGAATACAGCAACTCCCAGGACATTCATGAAGTTCCTGGAACGGAGCAGTGGAGTACTGCTGCCTCAACCAAATGTCAGATGTGCCAATCAGGAAGGAGACACTGCTTGTCTTGCTACTCCCAAATCAAGATATGCCAATCAGGAAGGAGACACTGCTTGTCTTGCTACTCCCAAATCAAGAAAATCTACTTTGTAGGACCTCAGTGAGTGATAGTCTTGGGTGCAGTGATTACAATATTGAGGATCTGGGATCCTGTTGAGCACTCTGGGAGTTAATACTAACACAAAGGTTTCAGATTTCAGAATAGCAAACTTCAGCTCACACACAGTTGGGATGGTCTCCTTGGAAGATTCCATGGAGAATAAAGGAGCTAGTGAGTGCTGGGAATTTTTCAAGAATGCTTCTCCTGGAAGGACAATGAACTGTTTGTTCATCCCCTCTAAAGGTAAGGAGAGTAGGTAGCAAGAGACCCCCTTGACTTAATTCCAAATTTCTGAGCCTGCTGAAAACCAAGGGAGAAGCATACCAAAGATGGAAAAGCAGACAAAGGGAAGTGGTGGGTTCATTGACCTTGTACACTTTTTAAGATTCAGCTGGACAGGGTGCTGGGCCATTGTGTCTAGACTGTGCTCTTGCCAAGGAAGGTTAGACCAGATGATCATTGAGTTGCCTTCCAACCTGGGGGTTCTTTGACACTGTGACTGTAGGGGTTAAAGGAAATGGTGAACCTAGAGGAGATAGTGGGCAAGGAAGGCACGACTGCATGTGGGCATCTGCTTTGGATTCTTGTTCAAGGCTCTTTTGCTTTATAGGATCAGAAGGAAAAGTTCAATCATACTGAGGAATTGAGAACCTTATAGTACTAATTTTGTCATTGGCTATTCTGTTGTTAAAGATGTTTTGCAATTCATTATCTCAAACATTTCTTGAGTTTGATAGACAGGACCATCATCTTATTAATAATTTAAATCTGTTTTATATGGTCTTGCATGAAGAACCTTAATGAAAAATAGAACAAAAATTACCTTTTGGCTAGTGCAGCAGCTTTTGAGTAAAATTTCCTAGTGTAGTAATATTCCACAAGATGGCCTTGAGCATAGATATTTCCAAGTTCTGTTGCTTCTCTCAAACATTCCAAAGCAGCTTTTCTGTTTCGACGTGTACCTTGTCCATAGAGATACATAATGCCAAGTGCTCCCTTTGATTCCAGATTTCCATTCTCACGTGCTTCTGAATGCCAGAAAAATGCCTAAACAAGAGGCACAAAGTTGGGGTATGTATTTACTTAGCTGATTTTCGTGTATACTGTTCCCATACAAGCTTTTACACCAACCATCCTGTAAGAAGTGCTTATACATAAAAGGAAGAAGAATCCTTGTGAGGCTTTTAAACCTGCTTCATTTAGTCAGAGCTGCCAATCAGTGTTACCTGCTTGAATTATGAAGGTTACCAAAGCTCATAAAAATTTAATCCATTCTATCATTCCTTCTGATACTTGCACTAAAAAAAAATAAAAAAAAAAAATCTTAGCTAGCAGTGTCAAGTGAGTCAAAATGAGGAATTCTGACTATCTGTTCACTTAGGTTTAAATGCATGGATAATGTCTAACTATTCAAAATACAACTTTCAGAGTCAAATATACCACTGTATTATTTCTCTGAAATTAAAGATTAGTCATGACTACTTTTTATTTCAAAAGATAGGGATTTACCTTCTTCATATCTTTTAGAATTGGCATAGAATAAAGCATTCCTAAAGTACTCTGCGCCTTTACACTTGCTTTTGGATTTCCATTGTCTGCAGCAGTAAGCCACAACCTAAGAAAATGGGGACAACAAAGTTTAAGAAACACACAATCTTATAATTTTTCAGGAAAATCACAGACTGCCCTTACCTTTCAGCCTCTTCAGCTGAATGTTTAACACCACATCCTTCATAATACGCCCTGCCAAGACTGTATGCAGCTGCAAACTTCAAGTGACTTGCTTCTGGGGAATCAGAGTTGAGTATTTTCTTCATGTATCCCACTCCCCTTCCCTAAAATTGAGCCATATACGTTATTATGTTCAGACTGTGAAGAGGATGAAATATATAACCTGAGAATGCACTAACTTCTGCCAGACAGGTAATTTTTTCCCCTTTGAAGAAAGGCTGAGGCATACTGGCAGGACAGCTTGGGAAACAGCATCATACCAAAGCAGAACTGATCTGTGGTTACTAGACAGCCCCTACATTTTTAACCCCAGCATATTATTAGTGTGAAACATTTCCTCATAAATGTTCATTTGATAATGTATTACTCTTCTTCACTGACACAATTTTTCCCAAAAACATTACTGTGCTTATGTAAATGAATGTCACATCCTACACCTGTAACATTTTCAATTTCAGAATTCTGAGAACTTTTTAGTATTGTCTCTGAAATCATAAAACAAGCTTAACAAGAAGGCAAAGTGATATATAGTACACTTTGAAGTCCCTGCAATTAAAATACCTTAGACTCATAAAGGACAAAATCTGATAATGTTGAATAAGCAGGGAGAACATTGCATATGAGCAACTGGGCCTCAGAATTATTTTAGAAATAAGATTTACACTGTTGGGATTTAGCATGGATACCCTGTTTAAATATGCTGGAACTAGTCCTTTATAAAAGGTTTTGCTTTTATTTAGCTTTCATATTGTAATACACAAGAAAGAAAGAAACTTTGTTAAAATGTTTATTTGCAAGTAAACAAATGTGGTAATTATGCAGACATACAGAAAAAATAAATCACATCTAAACCCCAATCAGAATGTTTTCAGTTCTGCTGACAATGCTGTAAGCACCAGACAGGAGTCCCATTTGTTAATATACTCTTTGGTTCATTTATTTTGGCCTTCTGTCTTACAACTGACCCTTTTATTCCTAATGCTTGTGTTCTTTCCTCATGCCACTTTTTAAGATCATCTTCACCAACAAATTAACTCTCCTTATTGTAGCAAAGCATTCCTTTGTCTTCCTTTTTTGTAACAGAATTCTTCAGTTTGAATTCTTCAAATGCTTGCAGATGTAATTTTTCATGCGTCTAACTTAAGAATAATACTGTCAACTATTGGCAGAAGCACAATCATCTCTGGCATCTGTGCTAAAAGAACAGAAAGTACCTTAAAAATTTTTTGTGCCAGAGATCTTATGCTTTGAAATATAATTGTTTGATTTCCATTTTGATTCACTTTATTTTAATGTACATAATTTGGTATCAAAAAGTAAAAAAATTAAAGCAATTTTTAACATAGCTTCCACATGAAGTCCAACCAAGCCTTTGAAAGTTAATTTTAAAACAGAAATTACTGTATTTTTTTATTCCTATTTTATTACCATTTTTGAGAACCTCCTCAACCCAGAGCCTTTGTTCTTTAATGATGCTCTGTAAACATCTGCACTTTATGAAACTAACTCTAAATGAAAAGGCTGTAATTTTAAACTAAATAATCATGCTTACAAAGAAGCTCCTAGTAATTATCAGCTAATATTAGAAGAAAAATAAAAAGTGTGCAGCTAAATTACTCACAGGGTCTTTTTTAGTGCCAAGTCCATCATAATACATTACACCAAGCTGATACATTGCTTGAAAATCTGTGTCCTGGATTTTTTCAAATTGCTTTAATGCTTCTTTGTACAACCCCTGGGAAAGAGAAAACAAACAATAACTCTCTGATATATACACCCTTAACAATTTTTCAACCTGGAGTATTTCTCTCATGAATGAAGAACAAAAAATTGCAACCACAGAAGAGGCAGGAAACAGATGGAGTAAGTTAACAACCAAGAAAGCTGGGTAACCAAAAGCCATTCTGACAAACTTTCTTCCCTCCCACAAACTGTCATCTTTTTAATTTGAGGAGATAAAGCCTAGTTCAGAATCCCTGCCCCATCTATCTGACATCCTTTAACTTAGGTCAGCTGTTCTTCCACCTCAAGGATTTAACAGTCTGCTTTTCCATCTCTGCTAAGGGCTGGTTTCACCAAGACTAACAAACCAGATGTCTGAAGACTTTCATGGACCCAGATGTCTGCCACACATTTCTTATGGAGGTATCACCTGCAACAACAGAGGTACTTTCACTCCTAAGAATCAATCTCAGAGAGTACTTGCTTCTGCATTGTCTGAGAAGAAACCACATTTAAAAACACAGTTAAACAACTGCAATACAACAGCTAACTGAGCCTGGTGTTCTAACTGAAATATTTTTACGCATAAACACTACATAAAAACAATAGTGAAATTAAAATATTCTTCTCTATATTTTTACTTCAAATTTTCTGTGTGTTTTGATTAAAAAAAAAAAAAAAAAGATTGCAAACACTTGGACCTGAGCAACAGTTCAACAGTCAGTCAAATGTCCTCACAATGACCAATCATCCCCTAGTAATACTGACCAAGCTATTATCTTATTGTAATTGTCTTGGGAGCTTATCCATTTTGATTGTGGGGCTTTGTATTTTTAAAGAACTCTGAAAAAAAACCCCAAAACCATTTCTTTTTACAACTAGCTGTCATGAGTAACAGAAAAAGAAGTACAGGGGGCACATTTAATCTCACCTTTCCTGAGAATTTAGTGCCATGTGAAGGAGACACAGGGCTGTGATTAGGAAATGGGCTTTTTTTTCCAATAACGAAAAGTACAGTGCTATGAGCATGCGCATTTTTAGGCACTACAGACATACATTAAAAAATCTGAAAATTAAAACCTGCTCAAAGAATAAATTTAGGGATGTACAGCAATATCTATCATGGACATCCAAGCCATTTTGTCAAGAAACAGAGAGGAGTCTCTTAATTCAGCTCCATGGAGTTAGTCTCAGGTAATTCATTAATGAAAACATTAAGGACAGGGCCCAGAAAGCAGAAAGTCTGAGTGAGTTAATTCTGTTCCTGCTGGAAACTGTGACACTGATTTACACTGTACCACTGCTGCACTGTAAACAGTACTGAGTCTGTGCATGTCACACTGGAAAATATCTGACTCAGTGTTTGTACTACATTCTTTTCTGTCCTCCTGAACTAAGTTCTAGTTTTCACAGGAAGCTGAGGTTTATATTCACCTGCCAGCCAGTCCCACTCTGTTCTCTGAGGATTTACTTTCAAAGACTTGGATGACCAATTTTAACCAAACTGGGGCAGGGACAGAGATCTTGAAGATAATACATTTCAACAAGTTCCAGTTCCCAGGTGGGGAACAAAGATCGAAAACTGTGTCTCGGTCAGGGCTCACTCCCACTGCAACTGAAAACGAAGTGTGTTGTATTTGGGCAGTCATCTGCCCAAAAACCCAACCTGGCTTGGAAGTTGGCTATAAGGATAGGCTGCTGCTCACTTGTCTGGTCCTTAGGAGACCTGTGAGGGAACTGGAAGATCTCACTACATGCTTGGGGAAAGTGTAGCTTATTTAGGGGGAACACCAGGTGATTTTAATGGGACCAAAACAGGCACAGGGGACCTCTCTTAGGTTTTTTTAAGGTGTCTCTTTTTTCATGGAAAAGGTGTTGAAAACTGTCTGCTTTATAATATTTACTTAAAAGAGGGAAAGCACCTTTTCATAGTATCGTTGTCCATCCAGAAAAGGTGCTGGAGGATCTCCACGTGCCTCACTCTTCTCCAGCGGCTCCTCCGATTTTGCCAAGAGTGCACCAGGGGAGGGGATCTCTGATTAAAAACAGACACACGTTTGGGTTTGTCCCCTAAGAGGTGAAACCTGCCTAAATACAGTAGAGGTCTGAAGCTGGTCCCTTTCTAATATGTTCTTCAAAAGACTAAGATGAAAGAAAAGGCTCTGTTATAAAACCGAAAAGCTGAGCGAAGACAGCCCGAAGGAAACATGCAGTGAATACAGCCTGACCCTTGTGTGCGTGAAGTTCGCCGTGCCAGAGCTGAAAGCCGCGCCTGACCGCAGCAGGGAGCTGCCGGCCGGAGCCCAGGTGAGAGCGGTACCTGGCGGGTCCGGCTCCTGCGGCAGCGGCTCGGAGCGCAGCGCCAGCCAGCACCGCCGGCCGAGCTCCCCCGGCAGCCCCGCGTCCGAAGGCGGCTCGGCCCGATCCTGCCGGGACGCGCAGTCCCGGGCCTGGCCCGAGCGGGGACGGCCAGAAGGGAGCGAGGCCGCGGCCCTCGCTGGTGCCGCGTTCCTGGCGCCGCCGGCCCCGGATCGACGCTTGCTGCTGTGCCGGGGCCTGCCGCCGCCCCGCCCGGCCTGCGCCGGCACCCGGCGCCGCTCCATAGCTGGGCCTGGGCTCGCACGGCAAGGCAAGGTCGGGGATGTAACGACGGGCTTGGCTCCACCTCCGGCCGTTGTCCGGAGAGAAGTGCCAGTAAGTCACAGTGCGGGCTGCAGGCTGGGCACCCTCCGGATCATCCCTGCTACCGCCGGTTCTGTCGGACATGAACAGCAGAAGCCCAGAATGCTCTGCAGAACACTACAGGCAAAAGGAGCAGAAACTCTGAATGCAAGTCAGAGAAAAAGGCACCAGGCCGTGACACTTCAGTTTAGCAGGCGGGACTTCACGCCGCTTCCAGTGATCAGAAACTGTTTGTTGTAATGTAGTTTGTTTTGCCCATATAGATATTAAAAAACTTAAAAGGATAATTGAGGGAAAATGCTGTTCGAGGTTTCTCATGAAATGTAAAGCATTGCTTCCACTTCTCTTGATTGCTTCTGGCTTTCTTACAAAAAGGGACTAATATCAAAATGCATGAAAGTGCTTTCAAAATAATCTTTAGCTGTGCTCCCAGCTTTTTCTTTTTTCCAGATGATTATCATCCTTCCATTTTTGGCAGTGTGATCTGTTTCTATAGCGACAGGGACAAGAGGCAACAATCAAAACGGGAGAGTGATGCCTGCAGATTTGTGTGGTTAAAACCATGGGCTCAATGTGATGTTTTCCAGTAGTCCCATGTGACTTTAAGTACCAAGAAACACCTAAAATTAATCCTGATTAATTTTGTGTAGATGATATAACCAAAGAAATCTACAGGAAAATAAACTTTCTTTTTTTTAAGCTTCAGTTACTTAACAGGCAGAGTGAAGAACAGTCTGTGAAAGCAGCAGTACCCTTCAGCAAAGACAACCAACAATGGGTTGCATGGCTGCTTTTGATGCAGAAGGGTGTGAGATTCACCAGCATACCTTGGTTTATCTGACTGCTTAGACATTTATTAGAACCATTTTTCCAATTTAATTTTGTTGATACACATGCAAGACGTGTGATCTGAGGTACAAAGCACAGAAGAATTGTTTCTAAGTTATGTTCCAGAACAGCTGTAGCCAGGAAGCCTTGTCCTTACCTGGCACTTGGGGCTGCCCCAGACAAAATAGTTGAGAATTGTAACTTCTGTGTTTATACCAGTACAAGTACTGGCTATTCAAAAGCAGAAGAGTTTTGCAGGCACTAATGAGGGGTGCAAAATGTGACCTGAAGCTCAAGAACTAATTAATAGCAGGAATTTGAATAGAGTTTTGGCTGGCCGGATGCAGATGTGTGTGTAGGTGGCTAGGCTGGAAAGATGAGATTCCTCAGGTGCAGCTTGAAACCTCTGAACTGCTGAGGTAATGGAGGGAGGAAAGATCTTTAAACCAAACATAAAACCAAAAGCACCAAAACACAACCTCTTTGGCAATGCAAAACTATTTAGTCTTAAGCTAATTCTGGATACGTGTGTTTTCAAAAGAATCTTTAAAATTGCAAAAAGGTATTTCATCCCTAACAAAGCATAGCTAGGAATGTGGGAATTTTATTTGTTTGTTAACAATTAGCTTGGCTACCTGTTCAGGGAAAAACCCAACACAACATTTTGTAATTACACAAGTGTGCTTCTTTCCATATAAAAAAGAAGTGAAAACTGTCATTTACTGAAACAATTCTGCTGTTGATCACAGCCTATTTACCTGGATTTCTGCACATTTAAAAATTGTACTGTATATGCTCATATTGCACTAAAATAATTTATATTAGCTTTCCCAAAGGAGAAGCAGAAGGTAATTTCATCATGTTTGTGAATTAATTTCAGAACTATGTATGCCCTAAAGGAACACCGTTAGGCTTCCTTCCCCCTATCTCTGTTTATTAAAACCATGCCATTATTATTTGTTTTTTAAATATGTGACTTTCAATTATTTTTTTTAAATTATGGTAGTGATTATGAGGGACTTCCATAACAAACATGTAGGTATTTGACACAGAAAGAAATACCATAATGCTAAGAACAGAACTGTGTACTGTGGACACTCACCCTCTCTAGGATACTTCAAGCTCAAGTAAGTGACAATCAAAGTACTGTTTTTGCAAATGTGTTTTGAGCAGAGATGTAGCAGGTGGCTGTGCCCAGATCCACCACTGCCGATTCTAGTCCTGCTCGGATTGGTGATGAACCTGCTGCGATGTCTGTGCTGAAGGTGAGAGCTGGGTCTCACAGCGTGCCTCGCCTGGCCAGTCTCCCTGGCCTAGTGGCAGAGCTTGGGCAGGACGATGGTAGAGATTTCTTTTTACTGACTTTTCTTTCTGGGAAAAAAAATCTAAATTAATTCTCTATTATTTTCGTTCCTAGATCCAAGTCTGCCTTGGTCTAGCCTTCCAAAGCAGCGTAAAGGTCCGCTGCCAGAACCACTGTGGCGGCTGCGCCTGGCAGCGGCACAGCCAAGAGCACACCAGGCCGCGCTCAGGGCTCGGTGGCTCCGGCTGAAGGCGGCAGCGGGGCTTCCAGCGGCGCCCGCTCCCGGCCCGTGCAGCAGCCGGTGCCCGGCCCCCCGGGGCTCCGGAGGGCGCTGCCGCGGCTGCCGAGTGTGTGCGGGACGTGCCGGGGCGGGGCTGCGGGCCCGGCGCTCGCTGCCGGCCCGGGAGGCGGCACGGACGGACCCGCGCCTCGGTCCACCGGCCCACAGCCCCGAGCCCTGACAGCCCCGCGCCCAGCAAACAGGGGAGGCGATGCTGATAATGGACTGCAGCGGAGAGGTGAGGTTTGGGATGGTCTGTGTGTGGCTCTGTCTGGCCGGGAGCCCAGCTGCGGAAGTGAATGAGGTGGTGTTTGCCTGGAGCTGCTGCTATCAACGCTGGGGCACTAACGCTGGTATTTCTGGTTAAGAGATTAAAAGCCAAAAACCTCTTTCTTGCACTGCTCTTCAAAAAAGAAAATATTTAAAAAGCAGTTGCAAGGAACATGAAGGTCCAGTGGTTTGCAAGGGGAATGTTTTTTGCTGTAATGCAGAATTCTGAGACCTGGCCATGGTTTACACTGGCAGTAACATTTCTTTTTTTCTTTTTATATCCTGTTTCAGTGTGGTAGTTTCAGCAACCTATTTGAGACAGGAACCGGTGTGAACGCACCTGCAGATGCCTCTGGTCAGTCTCCAGCTCACTTGGCTGCTTGTGGTGGTGAAGCCTTCTTCCTACTCTGGCAACTGCAGACAGGAGCAAATTTGAACCAACAGGTAAAAAACACATTTTATTCCTTCCACTTCTAATCTGGCATGTCAGTAAATCCACTTAATATTATTTACACACTTTTTATCTAAGAGAGGGTTTTCTTATACTCAGTTGCATTGCATGAGATACTTGGGGTTGCTTATTCTAGAGTAACTTCTAGCATGAACCAGAAATCCTGTCTATATTGCATTAGCAAGTTCACTTGCAATGTATAATTTAATTTTCACACTTAGAGTGCTGCATGCTGATGTCCAAACAACTTAATTCTTTTACACAACTTGAGTATTTATTTTTCCTCCAAAAGTTTGTCCCTACTTTGAGTAAATGTAAGGATTCTTACTCGAGTTGCTTAGTCGAATCCCTTATACCTCTGAGCTGGTAGCAAGCTATTGGTCACAGCAATCCCTGAATGATGCTAAGAGATGCTGTTAGTCTGTGTAGAGGGTATTCTGTGTAAGTTATCTTTTAAGAAGGCAAAGGTTAAACAATGAGTACTGCAGGAGACAGCACTTCTGCTTTGTGGTGATGAATACATTAGACATTTAATGGTAGTTACCATTACTATACTAGCTATATTCCTTTAATCTCTCTCTCAGCTCATAACAGACTGGTGTACCTAAACAGTAATTTTTGAGAACAAGACAGCTTTATCCTACTCCTCTTCTTGCAAATGACTGTTACATATAAATTGTGTTTTTAGGATTGCCTTGGAGAAGCCCCGATACATAAAGCAGCAAAAGCTGGAAGTTTGGAATGTCTTGCTCTCCTTGTTGCTGGTGATGCTAAAATTGAGTAAGTTGAGGAACGTTTAGTAACTTCAGTAAGAGCATCAAAGGATGTGCATTTTACAGAGTACATTTAACTTGCTCAGAACACACGTGCTAAGGCTGCAAATATAGCATGACTGTAGCAATAGGAGTATTAAAAACTGACATAAACACCAAAGGAGCACCGAGCACATGCTAACACGCTGTTGTGTAGCTATGTACCTCTGTGATAACTGCTGAGAGAATATTCCTGATCATCATCTCACCCTCTTCTTGCCTTTCTGATATGCTGAAGCTAGTAATAGACTGATGACAAATTTATTTTAAAATAATTATTCCTTTCTGTATTTAATACCCACCCCCTGTATGAGCCATATGCTATCCTTGCAAACCTTCTTGGTATTGATTCTCAGTACTTATTTTTATACACCTGCCTAAATCACCTCTTAATCAGCACTTGCTCATTATTCCAGTTGAATTGGTTATTGTTAATTCTGTATTTCAGCTTGTGCAACAACAGTGGGCAGACAGCAGCAGACCTTGCACTGGATTATGGCTTTCTGGAATGTGCCAAGTTCCTCAGGACAATTCAGCACACTCAGACAATGAAACTGAGAGGACAGTCTGGAAACTCGCTAAGTGACAGACATGGCTTGCAGAGAGAGGATCCAACTGCACAGAAACAGGAAAGTGAAACAAGCAGATCCATAAACAGGAAGAGGAGAAGATCAGATGGTGTGTAACAGTGTTGGTTTAATACAATTCAGGATATTTTTTAAAATGTTTTTAGCATCTAAGTAAAACAAATGTGTGTTAGACAGAGAGCAGTTAGATTTAGAAGCCTCCTAGTAAGGATGAACTTGCATAGGTACTTAAGGTTAGGGTCTTCTTGGAAATGGACAGTACATGTGGAATGCCACTTAAGAGGCTACTTCAACACAGAAGAAATAAAAATCATAGGTACCCTTGCTGATGTACTGATGAAGTAGCTACAGACTTATTTTGTTTCTATGACAGATCTTGTCGCCTAACTGCCAGAAGAAACATCTTGTAATCTCAACATGAAATAAGGGATATCTGAAGTCTGAAGAACCATGACTGGATGATACACTGAGCAGTCAGATGTGTGTGCTGGGACACTGTCTCCTTCTGAGAAGGAGGAAAGCTTGTTTATTGTTACTTCTTACAGAAGAATTTTGTGAGTATTTTTTTTTTCTCACCTGGAATACTTGTTTTCATTCAGCTATAAATAAATGAGCATAGAAAAATTAATTCTCTTGCTTTTTCTGTGTAAATATGACAGCAAAATTAATAAAATCTAGTAAATATGGCTACTTTTCCACTTCTTTTCCCACTCCTAAAATGTTTCATCAAGAATACCAGCAACAAACAAGGCCTTTGAACAGATTCATAATGGACAAGACAGATGGCTAAGTGGAACTTGAAAGGCAAAGGACAGTTTATCTTTCTGTCATGAAAGAATTCCACAAAACAAACGGATTTGGCATTTAATCTATAGAGATTCTAGCAGAAGAGGAAATACTATATAAACCTAAAGTTGTGCTATGGAAAAGTACAGAGTATTTGTTGCCTAATAAATGCATTTGTAAGGAATACAGTTCAAAGCAGGTAACTTATTTCTAGAGGTTTCATTTAAAAAAGAATAGTTTCTTAATTTAAGTCATTCAACCAACATTTCTATTTCACCTGGGTTTTGATAGACTTGAAGCATTATTTTGATAAATAACAGGAGAGTTTTATCTAGATCAGCTATTCTGTCTCAGCGCATTCAGCATGAGAGTGAATTTAAATAGCCTTTGGTCGCTGAGGTAGGCACAGATTGTAATAGGCGTCCTTGTTCCAAAACTCCGGGCCCTTCCATCCACACCAGCCCTGTCCAAGGAAAAGCAAGATAGCTTTTAAATCTACTTTAAATTCTGGTTTTCACTATTGAGTCTATTCTTATTTTACTAATCATACTAATCTAAGCTGTAGGAATTATTTTCAAATGACTATAGAATGCAATGACAATTTTCAGAAAGTTCTCTGCATGCCTGGAAACACATCAGTGGAAAACACATTACAAAAAGACTCTCTCCCCCTTCCTCCCTCCCCAGTTTAATTCTTAGAAAGTATCATCTCCTCCCCATCCCCACCTCCTCACTACCTTCTGCTGCTCCTGAGAGGTTAATGTTATTCTGAAATGCCATCATTCTCACAGTTTCCCTTAGTTCCTCCCTAGAGACTTTTGATGAGGAAAGTGGGTTCTGCATCTATTTTATCCTCCTGGACCACTGAACCATTCTAACAGCTAGTAGCTGTAACAGCCTTTGGTCCTACACATTCTTTGGAAATAGTTTCTTCCTGTGTTCATTTCAAGCTTTGATCATTATAGGCCACTAAAATGCTTCTTAAACAGCTCCTTTTTTTGTTTGTTGGGTTTTTGTTTGCTTGGCTTTATTTGTTGGTCTGTTTTTTTGAATGTTTGGGTTTTTTTGTTGGGCCTACACAAGGGTATCAAAGATTAGAAATGAAAGTTACTATTTGCAACTTAATATGAAAACCAGAAAAGACATTGATTACCTACATTTACAGGATGATTCAGCTGCTTTAAGAGTTTACATTTCTGACACTATATTTACTAGTTTGTAATGTGCTGCGTCATCCCTTTTAGCAGCTTTAAATGTGGAAATGACGTTACATTACATACCCCTGAACACTTTGTAGTTTTTCTACATTTTCCAAACAATTCAGTACCTACCCTCTGATCATTGTTAAAGGCCTGATCTGAGAATGGTTAGTGCTGGATTTTTAAAAGAACTTTTAAAATTTAAAATAAGTGATCTTCCCTGTTTCATTTAGAGCATCTTACAGCCTGAACAGAATTTTCTGTTTTATTCAAAATATAAAACACATTTATCGTGGATACTCCTGGGTAAAAGGGGAGTTGGGTGAATTCATACAAAATAAAGAACATTGCTTTATAGTATAATAACTTGATGTAGTTTCTGATCTGATACATCTCCAAAGACACTAAGTTTCAGAGAGTGACAATACTTAGCATATTGTAGTATGCAGGTTAACTGGGCTCAGTGCTTCTTCCATATGGAATGGAGAAGCCACGTTGTATTTGGCTGGACATTATTTGTTTAATGCCAAAATACATGTATATACATAAATGTGTGTGTATATGTGTGCATTAAGCCTCACCTTTTCCAAAATAACATGCAGATCTTCTCCTCCAGTGTAATGTGGGTCTAGAATCAAGTATTTAATGTGCCCTGTAGTCTCATTCCAAGCCACTCCCAATATCGTGTGAGCCAAAACACCTCCACCTAAAATAGGAGAAACACAGATGGCTGTATTTTTTTTCATTGGGATTGATTTCATATACAAGGGCTAAATAAAAGTACATCAACACCTTCTATTAACAGATTAGCTTGTGTCAAGATGATTCTGAAAGTGTTTCTTTCATAAGATTCTTGACATTATTAAACAACGTTTCTTTACTACAGCTAAGAAAGGTTAGTTGTAGTAACTAAAGTAAGTAGAGAATTCATTTTCCAAGTTTCTTCTAAGTCAGCAAGGCAGGTTAAATCCTCCACACTTCTACCAGATGAAGTCTAGAATATTTCAAACATCTCTTTTGCACTTTTTTTTTAAAGAAACCTAACTGTAGGAAAGAAATCTGCAAAATTTCATGGTTGTAAAAGGACTAAAATTAGAAGAGAAATTGGAATTCCTGGATGAAGTTTATATGTTGTTTTCTACTATGTTACATCAATGAATATTAGGGGCAGAAAATAGTAAATTCTGATTTCCCTTTCCTCGGCCTGCAAACAGGAAAAGGGGATATTTTGATGAGATGAGCCCAGGTCAATTCTGGCATGTTTCTTTCAGATAACATGCAATACTTTACTTCCCCGCAATATTGTAGTAACTCCACACAGCACATAGGGATTGCAAAATCCCTGGAAGAATACAAGCAAAATCAATACCCAAACCCCACCCTCAAAAAGCCCAACTCCAGCCCTCCAAAGACTACAAAAATTAAACCAACCTGCAAGAGAGCATTACAGGGAGGAGTACTAAAAGATTTTTCAATATAGGATTCTACATTCTTGGCATTCAGATAAAAAGGCTGCTGAAAGGCCAAGAATATTTAATGGAATCATAGCATGGTTTGGGTTGTAAAGGACTTTAAGTATCACCTAGTTCCAACCCCCCTGCCACGGGCAGGTCACCTCCCACTAGATCAGGTGCTCAAAGCTCCATAAATCCTGGCCTTGAGCCTTGGGCCATCCCCCTGGTCTTGGGGCATCCACAGCTTCTCTGCACAGCTGTTCTGGTGTCTCGCCACCCTCACATGGAACATTTCTTCCCAATACCTACTCTAAACCACCACCATACCAAAGTCTGGACTTCTGGCACCTCTGTTTTGAGGAAGTTACACTGCATTATAGAATGACAAATACAGACTGGAAAATTGCTTTAATTAATGTTATTAAAGTTGAAAATAATAATATCAATACTACTAATTTCCTAACACACAGCATGGAAAAAACAATTAATGTTGCAGTATTTTTACAAATGACACTTCTTATCATACCAGTATTTCAGATTATTAAAACTGGTCTTAAGTTAATCTTCCAAGCCAATTGACAGTACTCTTCTCTGAGGGGAAGTTTTGGGGAACTCTATGAACTTCTGCTCCTGTAGAGAATGGAAGTCAGCTCAAGTTCTGACTTAACAGAAATTTATAAAAACACCATTTACACTGACTTTTTTTACCATGTTCAATACTGAGCTTGAAAGAAATACTAAATAAAAAGATACCAACCAGACTAAACTCTACCATTTTTGAGGCTACCTTGGGAAAACTGTAATTTTTAATTCATCTACAGTTTTGATTAACTTTTGTACAGTAAATTAAATGGGTTCTAATTGAAATGAAATTCAGCACAGAGAGGCCATGCACTTTCATTAGCATTCTTCAAGATTCAAGTACTTACCAATCATAATTGGAGTTCCCTCAGTCTTGAAATGATTAGCAAGTTCTCTTCCCTGCAATGCTAGCTCAGAACCCTGGCTAGGTAAGAAAAATAATAACAGATTTATCATTCGCACTAGGTTTACTTCAGGAATTGCCCATTATACTCATTCACTGCATAGATAACCAATTAGAAAGTCACTTGGATTATTCCTCTGTAAAATTCCTGAGAAAATCTGAAAAACATTTTCTAACACAAGGTCTATTTGCTAGGCATGGAAATTAATACAGACATTTTTAATATCTTGTCTTTATAGTTCTTTATATAGTGGCTAATCTTTTTAAAACCCTGTGAGAGTCTGTGTGCCTACTTCCCAAGTAGGAATGGATTAAATGCAGACAGAATACAAAACTGGGAAATGATGCATTTATTGTAATGGATCCAGTACTGTGCAGCTGTGAAGTCTTATTTCCATAAAGAATCAGAGATGCTAGCTGGAAATAAGCCCAAGATAAAAATGCTATCCACTGCCAGTGACCAGCTGAAAAAGCTGCTTGATTGTTTCTTCTTCCCAGCATGGTAGTGATGTTGGTTTTTTGTAACACTGAGAAAAACTGCTGCTCCCTTGTAGCAGCACTATGAGCAATTCTACCTACTTCAGGAGTGTATTCTATATTCTCATATGCAGGAATAAAAATCTTCCTATTGGCAGGGCCTGTCACAGCTCCTATAAATAACAGGTGGATCAACTGCAAGTACAAGCTCTGGAGCAAAAAAAGATTAAAATCTTGAAGACCTGAACTATTTTCCTACCATTAAGGATCCCCATTACCATGCTCTTTTAGAATATCTACAGTGTGAATTCACTCTAAAGAAACATAACACATGAAAAGTGTTTTGGTTTGTATTTTCATACATACTGTTAGTGTATGTTCTTAATTTCATGACTGTACTTATTAAATGTTCGGGGTTTTATTAGTATGCTTAGTGCTTCCTAAATGATAAAAAGTATGGTAGTTTTTCTTCTGATATATGCTAAAGACTATTCTTTTTGTCCCAAATATCTTCGTAGGATTCTTCATTGTGTATGACAGCATGAGACTGTCAGAATGGAAACAAACTCCTTGCTTTATGTGTCACAAAAATGCAAAAAGGGGAACATTATTTTCCAGACTTCTCAACAATTTGCCTCAATCCTAAACTCACAAGTTAGGTTTGTGGCTGCAGTAATAATCTATTTGTCAGTGCACATTCAGTTCTCTCTGGACATCAGACTGTGTGTCTGGCATCAAAAATTGTGGTGCAAAGGAATAAGCTGAATTCCATATCAGTTTGCATATCATGAAGCAATTTATAGATTAAGCAAACCCAATGGGAACCACATTTCTTGTGGAAGCATTTGACCATAGCTTTATAGAATCGGGCAATTTGCATATTATTAAGCAATTTATAGCAAATGGAAACTGGAACCCCAAGCTCCCAAGAAATTTAACACTACCTTCATTGGTAAGCACAACTAAAGGTAGGAATAGAGGGTTAATTATAATTATACCTCTTCTCCCATGTACTGTGATCATGATTTGTATTTTAAGGCATTCAGTCTTTCTAGCAATTACCAAGCCATTAAACAAGTAGTGATTCTTACCTGACAAATAATATTTTGGATGTTATTCCAAAAAGCTGATTCAAAACAAGCTGTACCTCAATCGAACCAATCCATTGCCGTGACCCAACAAATGCTGCGGGCTTGTCTCCAGCATCAACCAGTGCCTTTGCAACATCATAATGAGGAAGAAACCCAAATATCAACAACATATAGTAGGGAATTCCACCATTTTGTGTCAACAAAATTACTTTATATAAATGGGCATGTGTTTTGAACCTAGCAGTTTAAAAGCAGACCAATGAATGTTGAATTAATTCACTGCCGTTCTGTTTTGGAAATGTCCCTTTGAGCAGTAATGCAGAACTGTGTCCATGAGTAGAGACCACAATCCCAGCTCCACAGGCAGACTTCAGAATGGGAGGGGGACCACTGAGCTCTTTAATAATGGAGTGCATCATTTGTACACTGCAGAAGCCACTTCACATACTGAAAGGCTTGGATTTCTATTCAAAGCACTCAGGAAAGGATCCATAAAATAGTGCTCTGAGGAAGAGGCTACTGATCCATGTCAAAGGTTATGGTTTATTTTAAACTGTTCTTCATTCTGAGCTTTATATGTTACATTCAGTACTTGAGAGGGACCTTTTCTGCTCAGGACACAAAGCCCAAAGGTCTTTTGAGGGCTACTGCCCTCTTTTAGATGCCTAAATATGCTACAGGATTGCACAGATTTCAATAGCATTCAAGTGTGGATAGAGAAATGTTCAGGAAATGTGGTTTTACCTTTAGTGTTCACATCCCTGCTACATATAATAAATGTTTTTTTCATGGAATGAATTAAACTTCACTAAAAATGTTCAGTAAATAGCTGTAACATGAAGAATTATATTTAGAAGACAGAAGGCAACTGCAGTATTCCTTGACAGGCATACCCAATTATGGGTATTAGCTACAAGCCTACAGTTTTAATTCAGTGTTGTTAACAAAAACGAACAATTCAGGTATGCATTTAAATTCAAAACAGAAAAGAAGTGAAGGAGAGTTCAAAAATCAGGAAAAAGTGCACCACTGTCAAAGGCAAAGTTGCAAAAGTTGTCAGTAAATTCCTGTGTAGCATCTGGGAACTAATCCAGCTGTCACTGAGTATGACAGCCAGTTTTAAAACTGATTTTAGCATGACACATTGGGTTCTTTGTTCTTTTCATTTGACAAAAACAGTGAAAAATGTCATATCACAGCTTCTAATACAACATTAATCCAAGGAAACATTTGAAAGATTATTTTAATGTATCTTATTTGTACAGACAATGTCATCCAACACAAACAATTCAGAACCACCAGTCCAATTTAAGGGACAAAAAATATTGTCTAAAATGTACGAATCTAATATTTAAAAACAATCTACATAAACCTTTATAGACAAATATGCATAAAATAATCTCCTTAATGTCCTGTACCTGTTGAATTTCCTTGTGTGTTGGTATAGGTCTATCCACGTAGCCTTGGTGCTTGAACCAAGAGCAGATTGTCTGCAAAGAGCGATAGGCACAGCCCCAGCCGCTGTCATCCACGCGGTCCTGCATGTAGTGGTGGTAACTGTATACACCTTGTACTAAATAAACCTGCACAGGAGGGGAGCACACAGAGCCATCTGATCACACTTGCACCAGTTTTCACAGAAGTCATATCACCTGGCACTTGCACTGTAAAGTTTACAGTTGGGGACTGCAAATCTTCGGAAGATTCAAAGGGTCATTATTCAAACATGATTAACTGCACCTCATTTTGTCTCCTAAACTGTGTTCATAGTGTTAGTTTCTTGTCCTGGTTCTGAGAAACTTTTTAGAATACATGCTAAAATCATGGACATTATTATCCCAAGAAAATCCAATTTATTTGGGACAAATACAACAAATTAAAGCAGTGCCATTTTGTGCAGAGGAGCCCTTTTGCTTAAGAGGTCAAACCAATTATTTTACTTTCCCATCTGCACATCACTGACTATCTAAATTACTTCTTTCAATAAAAAAAAATCTCAAAATAAAAAGGTACTTTCTGCAAAATGGTTCAATTTAAACTTACCATACCAGACTCCATGCCAGGTGAACTAAGATGTAAATGTGGATTTCTGAGATATCCATCTTTATATGGTTCATCTGGAAAATGATAAGCATTTGCTCTCTTGAAATATGGTCTGTCACAAGGCAGATTGTATAACCCATGCAATTCCTACATGCAAGTTCAAATAAAAATAAGAAACACAATTCAAATTTTGGATTAAAAGAAAGACATTGTAAGCAGCAATAAAGTTATAATTTTAACAGCATAGTTTAGCAAATTATTAAAATAGGCTTAATTAAACACTCAGCAGGTATGTTTACTACTAGACCTCACCTCTGCAGGGAAGCTCATGCAGGCTTACCTCCCATCTAAAGGGCCCTCTACTTTATGCAGCCCTGTTACATAACACCTGCTGCTGGGGCCCCACGAAAATACCACAAGTAACAGGTTTGTTATGAAAGCAGGATAAAATACACCATCATAGAAAAGGATTACAGTTTTATCTACACAGTAATGTAGATACACACACCAAATTATAATCTTAACTGATATTGGAGCATACAAATAATACATACTGACACAAAATGAAGATATTGGGCTTATGGTTCAAGCAGATTCAGTCTATTTTAAAATCTCTTAAGCTCTGTTTGCCACACAGCAGCCACATTTAAAGAGATATATTGTCTTATTTCACAGAGTGAAGAGTGAAGCATGATGAGATCCTCTAGGATAATGTATGTAACACAGCTAATACATTTTAGGCAGATGACCCAGCACTGAACCCAGCTCCAGGAGCTGCAGTAACACTTCCCATCAGTGGGTTAGAGTGATCAGCAGAGAGAGCAGGAAACACAGGCAGTGCCACCAGTGCCTGAGGCCTCTGCAAACACAAGGCTAGATTGGGTTTTATATACCCAGTAATGCTTCACACAGAAAAAAGTCCCCAGTTCCTACACCTCTAAGCTGCAGAATATTCTTTCCCTGCTCTCAGTACATGCAATTATGTGATCTAGACTGGTATCAGTCTCAATCTGAAAGGACTGGCACATCTCAACGTTCTTCCACTTCATCCATATTCTTTTTTCCAGATGCCAATCCAAAGGCAAAAACAAGCCAAAAACTAGCTAAGTTTGTCCAGCTGTGAGCTACAAAAAGCAGGCCCTCCAGACAAAAACCCCACAACACCACAAAACCCCAAGAAAGACCCAAAACAAACAAACAAAAAAAAAAACCAATAAGCTTTTCAGGACATATATTAAAGCCTGAATGTAGTAACACACCAAAAGTAAACTGATGTTCTACCATAGAAGAACAAAAAAAGGGAGAAATTCAAAGAACAATTTACTGGAAGCATAATTTAGAGAAAATATTTATCAATCAAATTTTATGTACATTTAAAGTTTCTGTTGTTCCCTCACAAAAATGAGATCTGGCACATTCTATAAAATAACTTATAATGAAACAAGTTTTCACATTCAGTATACTGGTTTGGCTATAATAAAAATGAATCTAAAATACAGCAGTATCTGCTAGTATTTATTCTACATTGACTAAATGGAAAGCCCTACCACTGCTACAATTACAGTAATTAAAAATAAAAGATCCAGTTCTGTTACCGTTTGTTGGCTTTACCTTTCTGTAACTTTCCAGCTGATCATCTGAAATACCCGTAGGATATGAGACTGTTACGAGGTGATTTTTTCCTGGTAACATGAAATGAAATTGTTCTGGTACCACAATTGATGTTCCTTTCACATATTTCATGATACATCTTTCCATGTCAGTTAATTGCCCATGAATTGCTTTCACTAGGAGATTTTGTACCCTGCAAAGTACAAGGGAGAATATTTCAAAAGCAGAGCAGTGATTGTGAATAACTTTTCCTCACAGCTGTGAGTTATACAATACCTAAATGCATGTCTGACCTGGTCAGATGACTGCACTACTTCAATGCTTCTGCTCCCACAGGAAAAGGCAGAGCCCAGCTGTGCCTTTCTCAAAGCTTGTCTGCACACAGAAATGAGTCCCTAGTGATTCAGTCCTCCCAAATGTGGCTACCCTGCTCTCCTATCAGAAACACAATCAGTATGAGCATTTGCCAAAATAAAAATTAAATATTTGACTAAATGTTTTCTTTTTTGCATTTTATCCACTCCGCTCAAATCCTATGGAAAAAATGCAAGGAAAAAATACACAGGCAGACTCAAATGTTTTCCATCATGTAACCCCAAATGTAGGGCTGAGATTACAAAGACTCATCAAATACACCCTAACTCTCACTTTTATACACCTCACATACAAAAATTTCTAGAACATTTTCCTAACCTTCTCAGTTCTTTGCTAAGCAATGGTTGTGAGTTATCAAATCTTTCAGACATTGATAAACTGAATTTTTTATAGACAGCAAAAGAATCATGTCTCAAGATTACTGAAGTTAACAGCTGCCTACATGAGCTTTTATTATTTACACAGTTAAAATTACATCACAAAAATACTATATACTTTTCATTAAACTGATGAATGATATAGCTGTACTTCATTATTTCAAGAAAAAGCAGAAATGAAGCTGAAAATTTGCAAGTTCAGGATAACACTTACTTTCCCCATGGCTCTTCTGGAGAAACAGATACAACAACATCAACTGGTAATGTCATATTTATGTAGTGGTGTTCCTTCTTTTCCCTTTCAATGACTGGAGCCAAAGCAGCTAATGAAGATGTCATTTCCAGCATGAGGTCTACATTGATTATCTGCTGCTGCAGAGAACAAAGACACCAATGTTACATCTCCAACTACAAGGCGGCAAAAGTAAGAACCAATAAGTACATGAACCAAAAAGGCAAAAGTAAGATTGCAGGTATTTGGTATCAAACTCAGTAATGAAATACTTGGGTTAGAAAAAAGCTGGTAATGTTGAAGACAAACTTCCATGTGCTGATCTACCATAGGTGGATTTCTGCATTCATGTTGAGTCTCAATGATTTTAAAAGCATTCTTTAAAGTCATGTCAATGCCTATTTGTGTACAGAAAAGCCTAGAGAGGGCAAGTCTCAAAATGTTTAAATGGTAATTTTTCTTATATATTAGAAACATACCGTATCCTGTAACTTTTTATCCTTTTTTTTGCCAAGCTTTCGTTTGGTCTCATCATCTTGATCAAATCTGAATTATCAACCGAAAGAGAAATGTCTATGACTCCCCCCCCCAGTTTTTTAAATATACTTACTGTATAAATCGTCTGATCTCTTTACATGCAGACTCATCAGTCAGCTCTGGAACTGTGGTCATACCATTGTTAGGCCACACATAGACTGAACTGTTGCAAATTCTGAATACAAGAACCTCTGAAGACAGTTTGTTTTCAAGATCACTGAAAACATATCCTAATGCCTTTTTTGTTGATGCCTCTGAAACACAGTAAGGATATAATTAGCCTAGAAAATTCTCTCACAATTTTTTAATAGCTGCTGGGCACACATTTAATAAATTTTGACTTGGAATAAAAATGAAAATGCTGTTATGATCAGAAAAATGACTGGGTAAACAAAACTAAGGTAAGATTTCACTTAGCAGGTCTGTCTCAAACATTCACTCTCACCTCCCTGAACAAAAGTGTACTGTTTCTCTCAGATGCTATCAAACTTACAGAAGAATATTACTACTGCTGTCACTTACCACATCTAAGTCTTAACCAAGCCTAGGGCTGCAAACAAACTTCTATGTACAGACAAACTTCTATGTATATTTAGGCTTTTGAAAAAATCCTGAAAACATTCAATCTGAGTCACTCACATGTTTCTGACCTCAAATCATTGTTCAGAAATACTAACCAAACCCAGACTAATCTTTGGAAAACCTGGGCCTACATTCCAGCTGAGGACCAAATTTTGGCCAGCATAAACCTGTATGCCACAGTCTGGTTTGCCTGAAACTTTATTACTGGTATATAGTTGAAAGTGAAACCATATTACTGGTATAAAATTGTCTTTCAGGTCTTGTAAGGTGTTTTACCCACACCTTACAACCTGAACCAATAATGGATATGACACTGTTGGATATGAAAGAATAACTGGCACATCAGCCATGTTTTTTTCCTTACTGTGAGGGTTAAAAAACATTACTTTGAATACAGTACTAACAAGCCATCAAAGACTATGCTGTATCTCTCTGATGCAGTAACTTAAATTTGGTCACAATTAGATAACTTTTGTACTAGAAATCTGTAAAAACTACATTATTAGAAAAGTCAAAAAAATTCCTCCAAAAGAAAAAGCTCACTGCCCTTCAAAAGGAACAGTGTGCCTTATTTACCCACTAACAGGTGTGAGTACCATGCACTTGGACAATTCAACAACCATTCTGCTTCACTGTGGTTACAGTTCACTACACCATAGACAAAGTCAAATAAATAACCCTTCTCTGAGGACGCAACTCACAAAATGCTGCTTTGGATCAGGTCAATCTATTCAACACTCCTGTTCCACATCATGAACTCAAATAAGCCCAAGTTCCTTATCAAGGTTCACTAGATGGAATTCAGTGTTTCTGCTAGAGACACATCCTTTTAAAATGCAGAATGACTGAGAGTGGAGCTAAAAACAGCCTCATCCTGCCCTGTGACAGCTCAATGGCCCCTGAGAGCCCTGAGCAGGCCTTCTGAGGAGAATGTCACTTTACTGTAACAATGGGGGACTACAGGAGTCCCTTAATGCTTTATGGATTAGTCTCTTTCTATCACATGGAATTGCAGTAGCGAATCCTGCCTAAATTCAGTACATTACTTGTTCCCATTCTCTATTTCTCTGGAAAGACTGGACCAAAGTCTCAAAATTGTATTATTGACACAGTCAAATTATAACAAAATTCATTGCATTGAAGTTATTCTGTTTGCTTATAATTTCAGAATTAACTTCAGCTTCAAGGTGAAAAGTGATCCCAGTAACATAATCACAAGTAAGAAGTATATGCAAATGAAATTAGCTAAAAACGTCAATGTAAAGTTTATTTCAAATGAAAACAAAAAAACATAGGAGGGAAAAAGAGTGTCAGAAAATTTATAGAGATAAAGAATAATTTTTACAGGTTTGTGAACACTTAACACCTGGTAAAATGCCAAAAAAAATAAATATAATAAACAGTTTCTTAATAAAAGTAAATATAAGTATTAAGAAATCTATTAGTCTTATAGACACACCATCAGTAGTTGCAAGCTGAAATGCAAGATCCAAGCCTCCTCTTATTCTGAAGAGTATATCCATAGCTTCTAGAATTACCTAAGGAGAAAAAAGAAGCAACAAAAATGAACAGCCATTTCAACATGCCTTCTCTCAAGCCACAACTGACTGCAGTTATGCCACAGTGTGCAAGTACACCAGCAATTACTGCAGCTGCTCAGGTTACACAAGGCCAGTGAATAAACAGGGGAGTGAGTGGTGCAGCAGTGCACAGCTGCTGCACCAGCACCTCAATTACACCTTAGAACACATTTCCTATCTTGACAAAAAAAGCCATAATTCTATACTTTTATCCTATAGAAATACTTTAGGTGAAATGCCATTGTTTCTCATTTTTTCAATCCAAATGTCATGTTTAGGTAAAATGTCATTGTTTCTCATTATTTCAATCCAAATGTCACATTTAGATAAAATATAATTGTTTCTCATTATTTCAATCCAAATGTCACATTTAGATAAAATATAATTGTTTCTCATTATTTCAATCCAAATGTCACTAATATACACTATACATGTATATAAAATATGTATTCTTCCAGCTCAAGTAAAGCAAGGACAGAACTGAGCTGAAAGGTAATTAGGCATCTGTAAGTATGCATTCATTAGTTAGGAAACCACAGTTTCAGGTAACTGACAAAAAGCAAAGGGGTGGGGGATATGTGTGTGTTATACACAGCCTTGAGAACTAAGGCTGAGTTTCACATTTGACATGAGAGCTGCTTATGCCACCACTGAGACCAGCCAACTGTTTGCTCCCCCTTCCAAAGTCCCTGCTCTGTGTCCCCCTAACTGCTCACATTTTAACATGAACTCCTAGAGAGCTCATGCAGATGGAAAGACATCCTTCTATTTAGAGAGGACTTTTTTAGACAGATCAATCCCCAATCACATTCAATGTACCAGAAAAAACCAGCTGTGGCGGTACAGAGAGGAACAAAAGGTGACAGATGAGTGTGGTAGTGCTCACTGTAACAGTCCACAGAAAGAATGCTTAAACTGCTCAAAAAAACACTACCAAGCACCTGAAAAAATAATTATACTAGGACCCTTTGGAAAGACTGACTGTATAACTGTTTGCTTACAAAGTATGAGACACTTCCACGTGCAATGCCATTGCTACTCATGAAATAAAAACCCCACAACACAGGACTAATTTTCTTTCCATTAAAAGCATTCTAAAGAGAAATACACAAAATATGCATGACTGTTAAAACATAATAATCTACTACTTTATCTGCTGGTGAAGGATTTTCATGTTTCAGTGATTCTGGAGTGCCAAGAAACAGTTTGGTTCCTGAAGCATAATCCTGAAGTATTTTAGATAATACGGTTATCGGCATTAACAGGATAATTAGTAGGACCCACAAAAGTGCCAGCCAGAATGTGAAAAAATGTTTGCCTGGGTTGATGTAAATGTTTTTTATTTGAATTATTACTATGCAAGAATAACGTTCATCAATAAAAAGAAGAGCTCTGCAAAAGCAGCTGATCATGGACATCAGAGAATCACAGCATGGGTGAAGCTGGAAAGGACCACAGCGGGTCACAGAATCACAGAATCTTCTGAGTTGGAAGGGAACCACACGGACAATGAGTACAACACTTAAGTGAACGGCCCATAACGGGGATCAAACCCACAGCCTGGGTGTTAGGGTGATGTGGTCCAATGTCCTTGCTCAAGCAGGGTCATCCCAGAACACATTGCACAGGATTGTGTCCAGACAGTTCCGGAGTATCTCCACTGAGAGGGACTCCACAGTCTCTCTAGACAATCTGTTCTCGTGCTGTCGCAGCACAGTAAAGATGCTCTTTCTCCTGTTCAGGTGAAACTTCCTGGGCATCAGGTTCTGCCTGAGGCCTCTTGTCCTATTGCTTGGCACAACCGAGAAGAGCTGCGCATCATTATGATGATCTCTTCCAAAAAATCCGTGGCTAACGCCAGGCAAGCTGAGTCCCCCACGGGCGATGGAGAATGGCAGGGGCTATAGGAAGGCGTCAGTGGGGGAGGCGCCACTGCTCCCCGTGTGACACAGCCTGTGTCCTGCAGAAAGGGGACCAGGGGCCTCCGCACCTCCCCCGGGGCACCCCTGGGGCTGGAGGCCCAAACGCGACGGCCGAGCACCCAGCCTGCAGCGGGGACACCAGCCCGCCCCGCTCGGCCCGGGCGGGGGCGCTCCCCTCCCCGCTGAGGAAGGACACACACCCGCCTACTTACCTATCCACCTACCTAGTCTCCCACCCATCCGTCCGTTCCATTCCCCGGGGACGGGGAGAAGGGGCCGAGCCGCGGAGGGGCGGACTCACCACGTCTGTCAGCGCCGCCGGGGGGCCGGGCCCGCCGCATCCCGGCGGCGCAGGCGCGCTGCCGGCGGGGCCCGCCTGGCCGGGCCGTGGGCCCGGGCCCGAGCGCTTCCCGTTCGGCCGGGAGGGAGAGGCCGCGCTGCCGCGGGTTTTCCCCAGAATCACCCGCCTTCCCTTCCCCTCTCTGCGGTGCTGCCGTGCCTGCTGGCGGCCGGCACGCTGCGGGGAGTGCGTGGGGCTGAGCGTTCTCTCCTTGGGCAGCCATGGCTGCGCTCAGCGCGGTGTGTCCGGGGTCAGCGGCCTGCTGCCAGACGCTGGTGTTATTTCCTCGTCATTTCACAAATCCACTGGGAGACGCTGCGGAATCCCGCTGGCCCGGCTGCTGCCTCGCGTTACTGCTCCTGCCAGGCCAGGCTTCCACATCCGCCCTCGCACTTCTCGGGCACATCGGCATGCTGAGGTCCAGAAGACCTCTCCATGAACCCCTAGATAAATGCTTTGTGCGTTAAACTGTAGAATTTAACTCCAGGTCTGTTTATTTGTGATATATTATTTCTGTCCTCGCAAATAATGCTAACTAGCTTAAAACTGAACCGTTAAACTGGTTTCCAAGGCTCAGTTTTCTGTCATTTCAGGTTGTTTCTTTCTTGTCGCCTGCCCTTAAGTTCCTTATCCGATGTCAAGATGTCCCAAGAGTCGAAGAACAACACTGAGGTTGCCTGATGAAGTAATGGTGGGCTTTTATGGTGCACTGGTTTTATTTATCCTGTATATTTTCACCATATGTAGTGAAAAATGACAGCCAGAGGACATTTTTGGTGTAGGGTAAGAAAAACACAGTGTGAACCAACACGTTGCAAAACCCCTCCCCCTAAACAACTGAAAAATTGTGAGCTTTTTAAAACTTAGTCATGCTGTCTGCTCCACATGCTAAGCACAAGGAAAATATGGCTCACCCTTCTGTTGTACACAGTGTTCCAGCACATTGATTTTCATAATAAAATGCATAAAATCGATTTTATTCAATGTGTTTCCAGTGCTGTGCTGCTGCAGCTTTTCTATTCTGCATCCACATGCCACATAGGTCTAATGTGTGATATCCATCTCTTTAGAGCTTTCTGTTGGAAATTGTGGTGGTTTCACCCCAGGCAGCAGCCAAGCCCCATGCAGCCACTCGCTCAGTCCTCCACCAGCAGGACTGGGGAGAGAATCAGGGGAGTAAAAGCCAGAAAACTCACAGGTTGAGATAAATACAGTTTAATAGGAAAAGCAAAAGCCCACACACAAAGTGAAACAAGGAATGAATTCCCTGCTTCCCATGGGCAGGCAGGTGTTCAGCCATCCCCTGGAGAGCAGGGTCCCTTCACACCTAACAGTGACTTGGGAGGACAAAGCCATCACTCCAAACATCCCTCCCTTTACATACTGAGCATGATGTCACATGGTCTGGAACATCCCTTTGCTCAGCTGGGGTCACCTGTCCTGGCTGTGTCTGCTCCCAGTTCCCATACACCCCCAGTCTGCTCTCCAGTGTGGCAGTACCAAAAGCAGAAAAGGCCTTGGCACTGTAGATATTGTTCATCTCTTAGTTTTGGGTGTTTTTTTGAGACATCTGGCAGTATCCCACACAAGTTCTAACACTCAGGATTTGACCTTCATTTTTTATTTGGAGCTCTTAAGCAAGAACACAATCGTGACCAAACAGTTCCAGTTGAAAGCACAGCAATACTTTTATGTTGTCAGAAGAATGGGACCACATTATCCTAGGTGCTATATAAAATCCCCATTTTTTGGTGTAAGTTCATAAATATAAGAAAACTGGCAAATTTGCTTGCACTGGTTTTATTTGTCCTGTGTATTTTTGCCATATGTAGTGAAAAATGGCAGCCAGAGGACATTTTTGGTCTTGGGTAAGAAAAAGATTTGAAGAAATAATTAAGCTGCCTGCAGCTGAGACAAATTCAGAGTCAAAGCTAAGCATTCAGTACAGAAAATGAAAACAGAGAAAAGGAGGTGGGATACTTTCCACTGGGAATAAAAAATCAACGGCGCTCAAAATGAACTCCGAACTGCAAACAGTGCAATGCTACAAGAGATGTGTTGCACACAGTGCATATGTATAGGTAGATATGCACATACTTTTTTTTTTTCTTTTTTATCCTTCTAAGCTGTTCAGCCTGAGGAATGACCAACTGCTCCTTTCTCCTCCTCTGGATTGTCTGAGCACTGCTGCGGCTCCTGGCACGGCACAGGAGCGGCATCGACAGGACCATCGACAGGAGCCTTAGCCGGGGCTCTGCCGAGGGGGTGCCTTGGGAAGAGGCGAACCGGGCAAAACACCAACCTCGGGGGACTTCGGCACCACCGCGCCTCCCAGGGCCAGGCGGGCCAGCCTTCATTGCAGCACAGGCTCGCCTTCGCCCCTTTTCCTCCCCGCCGGGGCTGCTGTGGCTCGGCGGCCCGGCGCCCGCCTGCAGGGTGGCGGGGGAAGGCCGGGGACGGAGGGCGCGGCAGGCCCGGCCGCCCTCAGCGGTGCCGCAGCCTCTTCGTGCGGCCGCTTGGCCCTCAGGGCGTATTGCATGTAAGCTAAAGGTCTGGCAGGATTTGTTGGTGAAAGAACAAGTTCAAACGCAACCTTTTGATGTAACGTTCAAATTAAAAAATCTGTGATATAATGACTTAGACTGTGCAGAGCACTTGCCGGACCAGGACTTCTCTGGCTACCAAGGCAGGCACAGGGAAGAAGTCTCTCAAGGGAACGCTGGTGGAAAAGTCACAGGCTTTTGGAATATAATTGCTTGATTAGTTCGGTGGTGGGAGATGTTGAAGAAATTTGGGCATTTTAATATTCAGTCGTGGAACTTGTCATTCAGTGCCGATGCTGAAAGTTTACACGTGTTTATAGCATGGGAGGATGGTAGTTCTGCAGACTGACAGACACTGACAGCTGTCCATTAGAGCATCGTTTTGGTGGGGAGTTGCAGTTATGTCGGTAAGAGAGTCAAGGTGGGGTCATGACTCTCTGTCCTTAAGAATGGTAATTCTCAAGGTTTTCAGGGTCTCTGAACAGTTCTAACCTGTTTTTGCAGAGGTACAAAGTTAGTGAAACCACTTTACACCTGTTGAGGGACAGCTGAAGAGTTTAGTGTCCGGAATTAGGCCAGCAGTATTACACAACACCAACAAACATAAACCTTATATTTAGCTACTTAACAGCTGAGAAATAATTTATTTTTGTTTTTAATTTTTTATCATCACAAGCAGAAAAACAAATTTTGGTTTATTTATGCAATCCATAATTAATACAGCATAAAATCTGTCACTGAAATCTGTCCCTTGCATACAGTTTTGGAGAATTTTATGGATCCTGTTCTAAGATTAGTGATAAAGTTGTCTCCAGATGTGTTTCTTCAGTGCTTTTCTGTTCACTAGAATTAGAACCTTTTATTGGGAGTTGCTGATGGACAAATTTGCCCTTAAAGTTTCAGGAATGGCTTTTAATAGTTACTGGTCTTGATCTTTGAGTCAGGGATTTCAGCTTGTCCTTAAGCTATGCTAGCAAATCAAGTAGGATTTTTTTTTTTTTTTTTTTGTTCTATATTGGGCTGTTTTGTCAAAAGTAACTTACAAAATGTTTGTTAAGTTCTAAAAAACCTTACTGTACCATGGAAGGTCTGGGGGACAGCAGAAAGCATTTTTTCCAAGGAATGCAAGAGCAAGAAGGATGAACCAGTGATGCAAGAATAATTAATCTTTTGAATTGAATAAATGTTATCAGTTTATCAGTTTATCATTTCCTGATACAAGCCCTCTAAATTGTGGAAATTTCTCAGAATATTGCATCTTCTTTGTTAATGAGGATACAAACATTGAGAAAAGTGAGTTCTGCCACTGTCTGTGGCACAAATTGATGTACACATCAAGTTAGCATTACCGGGGTGATGTGTGAATCTCAGCCAGGGAGAGAGTTAATCCTGTGGTATACTATCAGTTTACAAATCAAATAAGGGTTCTAAGTAATGAAATTATAGATCTACCCTGGAAGAGAAGGTTTACTTGGAAATTTCTTTGTGGTATTTTGCTGTCTGTTTGTGCATCATGGGGTTTGTGTGCAGTGGAGACCGTTCTTAGCTTATCTGCGTTGCGATCTTCCTGGGTTCCTGAAAAGTCAGTAAGACCAGGAGGGATGACAAGAAAAACCTTCTGAAGTTGTCAGCTCCTATTTGCTGTAAGTAAACAAGATTAGCTCTTTGGAAATACAACAGCTTCCTAAATAAAGAAAAGTGTTTAGTCCCAAATTTGAGACAAACAGGGAATGGGTATGGAAGTCTTGACCTGAAAACATAATGGAAGTCTTGGCTTGAAAACAATAGGATCATTGCAAAATTCAAATGTACATCTTTATCTGAAACAAGGCCAGTACATTGCTTTGTTTAGAAATAAACTACATTGTGCACTTCATTTTCTATAAACACATCCAGATATTGACCCATGAGAGACTGTCGGTATTTCTCCAACAAGTAAATAAATGAGAAATAATGAATATTCTTTCTGGATTTGTTATGAAGTACAGGAAAATTGTCCAGTGCAGAAAGACATTCCAGGAAGTTAAATACTGCACAAAATCACAGAAGACAACAGTGGGACTGTTACTTAATTGTCTGAAAATGAAGAATTGGTTTAGCCACTTTTAGTTTATTTCTGTTTTAGCAGCCAGTGATGATTTATGTAGCTGTCCTTCCTTCTCTCATGAGCTCTTTCCCATAGTTATCTGTTGTTAACATAAGGTCTCATCTAATTTGCAGCTCCATTACAACATGCTTCTTATTGAAAACCACCCAAAAATATTTACAAGAGATGTGGAGGGAGAAGAAACTGAAAACCAAGAACAGGAGTAGAAGAAAACAGTAGAGCAACATTGTGCATCAGGAAATTGCCAGAAATTTCCAGTAAGTGAACAAAATTCAGGAAGTATTGACAAGTGAAATGAGGAAAAGCATAGTGAGAATTCTGAAATACATGATTTGTTTAGTGGCATGC